CCCCAACAGAAAAACAGGCAAAGGACATGAATAGACAACTTCCAAAAGGGAACAACGGTATAGCTTCTTCATTCAACACCCCGGGGCCTCCCCTCACTCCCACAGCCTGTCCCCACCTTTGGGCTGCTCCACCTGGAATACAGGTGCTTGGCTTATTAATTCACAAAGGGAACACTGAGGCAAAGGCCTACGCAGAGGATGCTGGCATTAGATCAACCCCTCAGAGGCCCCGCATCTGGCAGCATCTTCCTCTAAAGCAAATGCCTTTCGTAAAACTCAACCACCGTGGTAGGATGGGAGGAGAGGCCTTGTTTGGGTGCATTCTAGCCTGCACAGCCCTTGGCAGCCCCAGCGGTCCTTGAGGAGGGAGGGCAGAGGCAGCCTCTGGCTCATATGCTGCCCCCTCCTCCCATCTGGAGGCAACACCATACCCAGGTGCCACTGTGCCCCAAATCAGTTGGTTCAGTGTGCCTCCAGGCCAGATGGACCCAGAGGGTCTGGGCTGAAACATAAGCAAGCTGTCACCACCCAAGAGACTGGGGTTGGGAGCAGGGTGCCCATCACTCTTGCAAATGACTGACACTGGCAGTCTCCAGTTGGTGGCTTTGGTCCCACTGATAATTATATAACCGTCCTGACTGAGGGGTGCCATATGGTGGCAAGGGCAGGGCTAGGTTCACATCTGTCTCTGGGAGAAGTGCTTCTACCTCTCTGAGCCTTGGCTCCCTCGGCTGGATGACAGGAGAGACTGAGCTTCAAGAGCTGGCGCTCCACAGTGCACACGGCAAAGAAAGGCGCCCACGTGGTGCAGGTGGCGAGGAGGGGCCCGGCACATGCCAGCTCCGACTCACTACCTCTCGTCCACAAAATCCATGATAGGAGGGGACCCCTGCCAAGGAAATACTGGTACCTGCAGAGGTTTCAGCTGCCTCAACTCCGTTAGTCATACTGACACCTGAACATCAACTGGACCCTCCTCACTGTCCCTCAACAGCAGGGACATCCATGCAGGTGTCACTGGTATGACCATGGCCTGCTGGAGGTCTCTGACTCACCCATTGCTTCTCAACAGAGCCGTCTCGAGTTCCCCACTGCCACTCTGTCACCCAGAAGACCTGTGACGGCACCCCTCCAGTGTACTGTGGACATGTGAGAACAGGAAGGGCTGACAGATCCCATAAAAGGACAAGAGAGAAGGGGAGCTTCTGTTGGGGTGGGCAGTCCATGACTTCAGAGAAACAGGGGCCCTCAAGCCTTTTAAAGGCTCCCAATTTGTCCTCATCTGTGCAGCATGCAGCCGACTCCACTCTGGTTTGAGTCACCATCACCTCTCACCTGGATTGTGGCACTAGCTCCTTACAGGTCTCCTAGCTCCCACCCTGCACCCTGTGGTCTATGTTCAATGTAGCAGCTTGTAATGCTGTCAAAACAGAAGTCAGATCATGTATCTCTCCTGCTGAAAATGGTACCCATTCTCACTGAGTTCTTACAATAGTCTAAGCTCTGGATGGTCTGGTGCCTCTGTAACCTCTGATTTACTATTCCCAGCTTTGATCACTCTGATATTGCCAAACTGACTGCCTGGTGATCCTTCAACATACTAGACATGCTTCTGCCCCAGGACCTTTGCATTTGCTGTCACTTCTGCCTGAATACTTCCTCTAGACACTCACATGCTCACTTGATCACCTTCTTCAAATCTCTGCTCAAATGTCCTTGTTTAAATTGCATCTTAGCTGGCTGTGGTGGTGTACGCCCGTAATCTGTGTCTTGGGAGGCTGAGGCAGGAGGATCTCAAGTTCAAGGCCAGCCTCAGCAACTTAGTAAGATCCTGTCCCAAAAGAAAATGAGAAGGGCTGGGGATGCAGCTCAGCAGTAGAGAGCCCCTGGGTTCAATCTCCATACCGCAAGATGATGAATTGATGCATCTCCCTTTACCCTGACAAGATTCTCAGTTTCCCTTGTGCCGCCCTACTCTTCCCTGCCCCCAGAGTATTTCATGTAGCTAACTCTATAATCTACCTTGTGTGCTTATTGGTTGGCTAGAATGTAAGCTCCCAAGGGACAAGGACACGCACGGTCCCTGGTCAAGGCAGGCACTAAGTTTGGATGGATAGAAAAGTGGGGCTGACTTCTGTCACTCTGTGACTTCTTCCAAGGTCCCCACTCTGCACTCATATGCAGAGACCTCCTTCCAGATAGTCCTCCCCAGGCCCCACCTCTGTGCTCTTTGGTGCTGCAATTTTTTCCAACTGCTCCTCACCTGCTCTCACTCTCAAGATGTAACTCCATCTGTTGGCATCCCCTTAGAAAGGATTTCAGACCTGAGCCATGTAAACATTCAGGGAAGTAGACAGAGGGGAAATGGAGGAATTAGGGGAGGGAAGAAGCCAGAGAAAGATCCAAGGAAAAGCAACCTGTATAGCTTCTCTTATACAGACCACTGGACATTAGACAACTCCACGGAGAAGCCCTGTGATTACCTTCCTCCCACCAAGCAGCTTAACAAGCAGCCTCATCACTCTCGGGATATTGGTTTCCCAGAGAAATCTAGCGAATCTACACAGGGACATGACAGTAGGTCTGGCCAGCAGAGGAGGGGGCTGAACATGACAATGAGCATCCCATCACTGCCAGACTTTAGCGGCTGGTTTTATTTCTGGCTCTTCTCCCACATCTCAGCAGGAAGGCCAGTTCCCAGCAGGATCCCTGGGTTGGGGGCAGAATGAGCCAGCACCACAGACCTCGGATACTCCGGAAATAGAAGTGTCTAGGCAGGGTGAACGGAAACCAAGCCTGTCAGGGTGAGATATAGACAATCTGAGGTGAGGAAGTGCTGTCACGGTCAGCAGGGAACTGGAGAGAAAAGCAGGTCTGCAGGATCACACAGGCTCCCAGGATTTGTGGGTAGCTCAGGTGAACTTCCCATCCTGTTCTGCTTTAAAGCTGACAGATGCAGCTCTGAGTTGGCTTTGACCAGAGTGTTCATTCTGCATTCCAGCCCCCATTTCAGCAGGGGATGGTATCTCGGTCAAACCGAAGTCTGATTAGCTAGAGACCAGCATGTCATGGAGCCCTGGGAATATTAAATAATATTTACAAGGGATGACGTTGGGGGAATAATTACTGATGGTAAGAGGCAATCAACGGCAGGGAACTCCTCCACTGCTCAAGTGGTGAGAAATTAGATGAAATGAGGCTCAGAGCAGCGAGGGCTTGTCATGGGGACAGCAGAAGGGGTTGGAAAGTCACTACCTCTGCTGATTCTGTTAATAGGATAAACCAGCCTTGCAAGTAAGAGCCAGACCCCGAGAGGCTGCATTGAGGTGATTTAAAAATCAGGCCAGGTCCTGCCAACAGCTTCATTTTCAGATGTGTTAGAACTGGAAAGAACTTCGAGATCAGCACACCCATAGTTCTGTTTTGAAGGCTTCTGCCTTCCAAAACTACTGAAACTATTAAGTAATAATTAATTTATTTTCACATTTTTTATTCATCAAAGGCACATAGAGAACTGCCAATTGGAACATGCAAAAGACCTAAAATTGATATCACTCCAGCCCCAAACAAAAGACACATACTGGGTTGTATTTTTGCCAGCCCAGCCACATTACTTTGTATAGTTTTCCTTTTGAAAAAAATTTAAAATAACACAAGGTCAACTTTTAAGTAGCCAAGGAAGCCTGGAGAACCTATATCATAAACCCCAAATCCAAGCCACCTCTCTTCTACATAAGGGGACTGAGGCCCAGCAAATACAATCAGTTTGCCCAAGATCACACAGCTGGCTGTAAGTAGAGCCAAGGTGAGAGCTGGGGAGCGGGGTGAAGCAGAAAACTGCCCTGGGCACGCAGGAGCAGTGCAGGAGTAAACTGTAGCTATGATCACAGCAGCAGAGTGGACTATGGGCACCAGTGAACATGGCTTGACTCTTGTCCACTATACTTATTAGCTGTGTGACCCTGGCAAAATGACCTAATTTCTCTGAACACATTTTCATATGACGAATGGGGATAACTATAGTTACCATGTTGTTGCAAGGATTTAATGAAATAACAGAACAGGCCACTTACTGAACGTGGCTAGTCTCATTTAACCTGTTTCAGTGTGTTTGTGTGTCAGGGGTATGTCTAAGTAGACAGAGGAATACTGACGAGCTTGGGGACCGAAGTCACAGGATCCAACTTCCAAGTACCACCCTGGACAGTGCGGTAGGAGGGAAATTCTTCCCAACGGTGCTCACTGTAGGTACTACGCACAATGCTTGTTACTTCTCAGTAATGTCACTCAAAATGAGCATGCTTCAGAACCCAGGCCTCATCCAAACTTACTGCCTCTGAATCCCTGCAGGGTGAGATGGGAATTTGCACTTTTAGGATTTTGGAGGTACAACTTATATACCGTAATACTCACCATTTTAAGATGTAGACTTTCAGTGGTTCTTAGCATACTGAATTCATAAGATTGTTACCACCATCAGTACCATCAAATTCCAGCACATTTTCATTGCCCCATAAAGAAACCCAAACCTATTAACCGTCATTTTCAATTCCCTATTCTCTTCCTCTGACAACCAGTGATTGACAATCCATCTCTATGAACTTGCCTACTCTGGACATTTCAATGTGAATGGAATGGTCTTTGGATCTGGCCTCCTTCACTTAGCAGTTTTGAGGACTCATCTGCGTTGAAGCATGCATTAGAACTTTATTCCTTGGAATTTGCACTTTTAACAAGCTCCCCAGGTACTTCTGCTGAGTGGGCTTTCAGGAGGAAAATAATAGCAAATTCACATGAGGTGAAACTGCAGGATTTTATAAAGCTAAGGTGTGCCCGTCTCCAATGCTCACTAGGAACAGAGGTCACACTGGCTGCCTGCCCCTTCCAGGGGCAGGACAGGGTCTCCTGGGCACTCTGCAGGGAGATGTACATCTACAGACAGCATCTTGGCTGCTCAGAAAGTGGGGAGATTATCTGAAAAGAGAGATCACACAAGTGGATTAGTCTCGATTCAGACTTTAATGTACATTATGCTCTTGGAAAATCATCTCCAAGGAAACAAGAAAACCCGAAAGCCTTAACCAGCAGGAATTCTCATTCAGAAACCTGCTGTGAGCCCCAGCATTGGAGAGGATGGCACCCAGACTCAAGAGTACAACAGTGTGAGGTCAGAGTAGAGGGACTGTGTCCATCCAGAGGTAAAACTCTGCCCACATAGCACGATGGGCATGCCCTTGGGACTTCTGGGAAATCAGAAGCATCATTACTCTGATGACAGAGTCCATAGCAGGGATGAAAGATTTAGGCCGACTAGATCATCTTCAGAGCTCAGGAAAAAACCATGAAATGTCAACAGGGCTTAGGAAACCTGCATGGACAAAAACCTTTTTTTTTTTTTTTTTTTTTTTATGGTAGAATCTCCAGGTCCTCAGAAACAGTCATGGTGGCTCTGGTAAGAATGGGGACATCTGAGAGGGCTGCCACATCCCACTTTTAGGTCTGAGATCTCAGAGTAGAATGAATGGGAGGTGATACCAGCTGGGCCCCTGAGATCAGGAACCACATCAATTTCAGATTACCTACCAGGCCTCTGGACAGAAGCATGGGATTTAGGGAGAATAGCTAATGGTGATTACCTGTCACTCAATCTAACTGTCTTCTTTGTTACCCCTGCTGATACTGGGCACTTGAGGGCCCACACTTTCTATCAGGGACTCCCATTCAACCAGAGGCAGGCAGAAATTCTTGCTCAGCTCATGACTCTACATTTAACTCAAAAAAAAAAAAAAAAAAAAAAAAAAAATCACAAACTGACATTTTGGAACCCCGGGGCTTCTCGTTTTCTAATCATCCTCTGGAATAAGCAGTCAGTTCTCATGGACTTTCAGTTCAATTTCTTCTCAAGAGAAGGAATTAGGCTGCTGTTGAAGCAGGTCTCTCCCAAAAGCTTTTAAAAGAGCCTGTCAGGTTGGAACCAGGGCCAGGCTGACAGGGAACCCACAAATGTGCTTTCAGAATCTATATAGCCTCTTTGGCAATGAAGGAACTTATTTATTGGTGAAGGAGTGAATTCTGGCTCCATCTCTACAAAACCTGGTAGGATCACTGGCCCGGAGGGTTCCAGGATGGGATATGGTGAAGGAGAGACCAGGGCTACAGCCAAATTGGAAGAGGCCTCTCATGGCTTGAACATTTGCAGAATTAGCCAGTCTCGATGCCCTCAGGGAGCTCCACCACTACTGGGGCACAGTCCTCAGGCTCTGAGGCAAAGTCCCACCGGAACTTCTTGGTCAGGTGGGCTTGGAACTTTTCAGCTTTCTTCCTCAGGGTGGCATCCACAGCAATGCTGCAAGCGGAGGAAAAGAAAACCTACAGAAAACAGAGGGTAAGTCACTTCTGAGAACAGAGGAGACTAGAAAGCTGTGGAAATTTCCTCCTGGTGTTCAGCTCTCTGGGGCGGTGGATCAGCTGCTGCTGGCACAGGCCCAGGACACCTGCTGTGCACCCCCATCCCACCAAGAAAGAAGGTCCAAACCCAGCTGAGTCGCTGAAACAGGACTGGAATGGAAAATTACTATGCTGGGCAGAGATGACCCACGGAGAGTAAGGCTAGCAAGGCCATCACATGGCTCCACCCCTGTGGAGATCTAAAGGCACCTGGGCAGAAAATCAGAAGAGATAGTAGCTTTACTAGCATGTGTTAAGAAAGGCTTTGGGGGTCATGTAAGCCCTGGGGTCCTATAAAGTCCCAGGCCTTAGCCAAGTGGTTAAACTGCTGCCATAATCTCCTTTGTGAGCCAGAGACTGCCAGTTTGAGGCTTCTAACCCCCTTAAAAGATATCTTTAATGTTCATTTTTAAAAAACATCATCATTGTTTAAATTGTGAAAAAATATACATACTTACCATTTAAACCTTTTTTTTTTTTTTGGTACCAGGGATTAAACTCAGGGGCACTCAACCAATGAGCCACATCCCCAGCCCAATTTTTATATTTTATTAGAGACAGGGTCTCACTGAGTTACTTAGCGCCTCGCCATTGCTGAGGCTGGCTTTGAACTTGCAATCCTCCTGTCTCGGCTTCCCAAGCCGCTGGGATTACAGGCATGCACCACCACACCCGGCCATTTAAACCATTTTTAAATATAGAGTTCAGTGGTACCAAGTGAGGCCACAGTGTGTGCAACCATCATCACCACCCATTGCCAAGCTTTTTCATCTTCCCTCAAACTCCATACCCATTGAATGAGTACCCTGTTCTTTCTTCCCTCAGTCCCTGGCAACCACTTTTACTCTCTGTCTCTATGACTATGACTATGCATACCTCACATAAGAGGAATCACAGGCATTTGTCCTTTTTAAAAAAAAAAAATTTTGTAGTGTAGATGAACAGAATGCCTTTATTTTTTTTTAATATTTATTTTTTAGCTGCAGTTGGACACAACACCCTTATTTAATTTATTTATTTTTATGTGGTGCTGAGGATAACGCAGGGCCTCCCATGTGCTAGGCGAGCGCTCTGCCACTGAGCCACAACTTCAGCCCAGAATGCATTTATTTGCTTATTTTTATGTGGTGCTGAGGATTGAACCCAGTGCCTCACGCATGCTAGGTAAGCGCTCTGCCACTGAGCTACAGCCCCAGCCCACATTTGTCCTTTTGTGACTGGCTTAGTTCACTTAGATAATGTTTCTATGGTTCATCCATGTTAACACAATTGTCAAAAATTTTCTTTTCAAAACAATATTCATATCACATTTGTTAGTCCACTTGTCTACTGATGGCTACTTGGGCTATTCCTACCTTCTAGATATTGTGAATAAAATGCCATCAAAATGGCTGTATAAATACACTATTGAGTCCCTACTCTCCCTACTTTCTTCTGAGTGTAGACCCAGAAGTGGAATTGTTGGGTCATATGGTAATTCTATGTTTAATTTTTTGAGGAACTGCTACAATGTTTTCTAAGAGCATCTATACCACTTTATATCTACTAGCAACACACAAGGGGTTCCAATTTTGCTACATTCTGGTCAACATCTACTACTTTGTTTTGTTTTTTATCAATAGCCACTATGGGTTGGGATGGTATCTCACTGTAGTTGTATTTTTTTTTTTTTTGGTGTGTGTGGGGGTTTACTAGGGATTGAAATCAGGGGCAATCCACCACTGAGACACATCCTCAGCCCTATTTTGTATTTCATTTAGAGAAAGGGTCTCACTGAGTTGCTTTGCGCCTCACTGTTGCTGAGGCTGGCTTTGAACTCGCAAACCTCCTGCCTCAGCCTCCCCAGCCACTGGGATTACAGGTGTGTGGTACTGTGCTCAGCCTCACTGTAGTTCTGATTTACATTTCTGTTTAGTGGTGTTGGACATATTTTCATGTACTTATTAATCATTTTGTATTTTTTTTTTGGGGGGCAAATACCTATTCAACTCTTCTGCCCATTTTAAAAATTAGGTTTTTATTTTGTGTGTATGTTGAGTTATAATAGTTCTTTATATATTCTAGACATTTGTCCCTTATTGTGATGTTCTCATGAACTCATTTTCATCTCATACAAACATGGGTGGGGTAGCACAGCAATTTTCTCCACATCTGAAAGCCCATTATCCTGGATCTCAATTCCTTTTAAGAATAACAGCAAACTCACTATTCCTTCTAACACTCTTACTACATTATCCAATTGGCTCCTCACCATTCCTTGGGAATATACACTTGAATGTGTATTTTAAGGACATGGAGATGGAGAAGAGTTAAATGACAGTGAAGAGTTAAATATCCAGAAAGAAGAAATATTTTTTTTCCCAGACTGTTATCTGCTACACTACAGGAGGACCACCCTGAGACATGGACATGCGGGCAAAAGCAGCTGTTAAATCCACATCATCTTCAGGCCACACAAGGACCCTGAGCTCCAGAGACCAGATTTGACACAGGCCAAAGGCATTCTCTGAAATGGATTCCAGGGACAATATGCTCCCACCAGCTTCTCCACCGTTCTTCCTTCTGTTAGCAGGAGGGTGAGGCTCATTTTCAATGATCATTGTTTAGAGTCATTTTGTTGGAAGAGTAGCAACAGAAGCAGAGGCAGAAGTGATGGGCAGGAGAAGGGGGAAGGCACAAGGTACAGAATTTGGCTTCATTAACTCAGGAATTGAGTTAATGAGGAGAAGGAAGTGTGTCCACAACAAAGTACCAGATCAATAACTAATTAGAGGAACTGTGTGATCTCAGTGGTGAGGGGGCAGTGGAGAACCCAGCAGTTGGCCTGTCTGAAGGCAGCTAATGGAGCCTGCCCTGCAGCATGGCTGAACTCTGGGGGAGAGCCTGGGAGGGACAGCAGAGAAGCCTCCTTTCAAACTGCATTAGCTCTAGAGGCCCTGCACATATATGGATCTGTCTCCAGAGGTCATGGGGGGCCTGCTGGGCTGAATGAACAAAAGCCTCTTCCTGTTCCCCTTCCTTACACAGTAAATTGTATTATTCTCCCTGCAGCCCCTCTTCTCTAGCCATGTTGAGCAGCTGCCCAAACATACTCAATTGCCTCCTCTGTGCACCCATGCTTTTCTTCCCTCTGCTTTTTCACTCTTCCACCTTTTGCTTTCTCTTTCTTCATCTTGGCAATTTCTCCTGACTCAAGCTCAGCCAGACACCACCTTCTTTGGTCTGTCTTTCCAAGCCAATGGTGGAAATTGGTGCTCCTTGGCTCCCCCATATCAAGGGTATCTCAATCATGGCCTCTATCTCAGTAAAATAGGCCATTTACTGTTGATCTTGCCCAAAAAGAGCAACTCAAAGCAGTGACCCTTTCTTTTCTTTTTATTTATTTATTTATTTTTTTTAGTTGTCAATGGATCTTTTATTTAATTAATTTATTTATATGCAGCACTGAGGATCGAACCCAGGGTCTCATGCATGTCAGGCAAGCACTGTACTATTGAGCCACAACTCCAGCCCAGCAGTGACCCCTTTCATATCTGCATTCCACACACCTGGCAGTGACATATAAAATAAAAGGGACCCATGAGATATTTAATGAACAAAAGAATGAAGACAACCACAGATTCAGGGAAAATCCATTTCTGGTTCTTTTGCATAGTACCTAGCACCAAAATGAATGCTCAATAATTATGTGATGGTGCTGGAGAGAAAAGGAGAAGAGGAGGCTTGTGTACCAGGCCCCTGAATGCCACTCGCTCTTAAGCTACCCCCTGTGTCATGCCTTTTGTAAAGGCCAGGGTTGAAATGAACTCCTCCAGCCTCTCTTCCTTTAATACAGAGCCTGAGCCTCCCTTATGGCATTGTATTTGCATCATCGCAGTGTGTCCTAAACAGTAGGGAATGAATCCTAATTATCAATGTGTCTCCCATAGCACACCACCCAGGCTTGGCCAGGAGTTAGGGTCCACAGGATGCTCACAGTAAGAACGAAACACAGAATGCCCCAAATTTGGCAATGGCCGGAAGTGAGAGGCTGGAACAAGCTGGGCTCACAGTCATCATCCACCCTCCCCACCCACCTTTCAAAGATGCTTGAGAGTAAAGTCAGCTAGAAGTGGGTACGACAGAAGGTTTTGGTCTAAAAAATAGGCTTCTAATTTGAAAAGTGCTTTGTCCTTTTTAAAGAACTTGTCACTTCAAATCTTTACTACAAACCAGTAGGTAGGAGGACAGACAATTACTATTCCCATTGTATGGACCAGGACACTAGGTATGCTGCACCATGCAGTGATAAGTGCTGAGCAAGACCCAGTCCACACAGGGATAGCTCAGCTGAGTTCTTTTCTCCCACCAAGACCTTCTTTTATATTGACAGAGACTAAATGCATTCCTGAAATTAAATTTTCAGCACTGCCCTGTTGGACACCTGTAAGATGATTCTGAAACTGTGTCCTCTGTGGGCCTCTAAGACCCAGAGCATGGTTTAGGTCTTCTCTTTTGTTGTTGTTGTTCTGTTTTGTTTTACATCAGCTTTACTGAGGTATAATTTGCATACAATTAAACTCAACCATTGTTTAAGTGTTTAATTCATCTGGACAAATGTACATAACCATATAACCACCATATGATATATATCTAGTGTTTTCTTTTGGAATCAGTTCTGAGTCTGAAGACCAAAAAGGATGCATGTATCCATCAACACAATCAGAACAGTTCAGTCACTTCAAAAACCACCCTGGTGCTGCCCTCTGGCAGTTAAAACCTCTCCTCACTCTCAGCTCCTGGCATCTGCTTGATATTTTAAAAACATTTCAGAAAAGATGTTTAAGGAGTACTTCTTTTTCAAGCAATCATTTATCTTGATTCTTTTATTTTCAGAATAATTTTATGCTTTTTTTAGAAAATAGTCATGATCTGGCCATTTT